ACTATAATTGCACAGGCAATTGTATGCTAGTTTTCTTAATAAAGAAAAATATTTTCAATACAAAAGTACTATAGCAACTGGAGTAGTAGAACTCCAGTTACCTACCATGGGTAGGTGGCAATTTGCCATTCTCAAACTCTTACAAAAAAAATCCAAGCTAGAGGGGGGAAAAAGTCACATAAGAAAATAATCCTTTTTTATGTTTCAAATATTTGAAACCAAAGATTCTTGTTTGCTTATTTTTTCAAATATCAGAATCCATACTTTCTATAATAGTATCAAAAAAGTCATAACTGTTACCTCGATTTCCTCCCAATATGGCCCCCCTCGGGGGAATATGAAGTAGTTATAAGCATCCTTCACTGAAGTAGGGTCGTATCTGCTTGGATTGATGTTTAACATCCACGGCCTACCATCACCACGGACACGCAGACATAGACTATTAAAATTTGACCAATCATGTAATTTTGTACGACGAAAAGCAAGCTGCCAAAATATATAATATTACTTTTAGTATTTCACCAATTGTTACATTTGGCAAAGTTTCCTTCTCCCTTTCTTAATATTATTTTGTTCACTGCTGAGATGTTTTTTTTCTTCTATTATTCTGCTCTATCCTTTTCACATAACTGTCATGACAAGTGGATTCTGTCATAAACATTACTTTCTCATCAGAAATTTATCACGTAATAAGCAACTGAACACCACACACACATACACATAAAAACTCCACTGCACTGAGACCATTTGTATCTACCCCACCCTAGTTGAGAAAACCTTTCAATTATTCTTGGACAAGATACCAGAAACTATCCAAATTTCCAGGCTAGTAAAATTGTGGTTATACTGCCAGTTTCCACACACACTTAGACCAAAATGCCTTTGCTTGAAGGTGACACTTGAGGGTAGCAGAATGCAACGTAAGTGCAACAGACAGAAAAACTCTAGAGACATCTCTTCTTCAAACAAGATCTACAGCAACGTTTGACATGTTACACTGTACCACGGCTTCACAACAGATTATAACTGACAGTCTAATTTTACAAGTCTCATCAATTTGCTTATTACCACTATCAATGAAAAAGCAAATAAATAATCTGCACACTCCAGTGCAGTGGAAGGATAGATAAAATGGTTGTGAAGTGGGCTTTAAAAATATGATAAAAGCTTGAAAAAACCCCCACACTTTTAAAAATCATTTTTGGGTGAAAAGGAACAAAGTTTATATTATGCTGCTGAATGAACTATTTCTTAAGATTAAAAATAATAAAGGCAAAATTTATCTCAAGACAAACCTGAATCCTGGTGATTATTTGGGCATATTTGCAGGGGTTGTTTTTTTTTTGCAACAATAGGGAAGTAGACTGCCTTCTTATGGAAATTTTTAAACTTTTGATTTTGTCCAAGTCCTTGTGATTCTTTGCAATCTCTGTTGATTACTAGTCCTCTTTAGCTTTTCAAAATTGTTCAAGTCAGCTAATTTACTTATGATTAGGCTCCATTAAATGCAGCAGTTTTATTTCTAAGCAATCACTGACAACACTGAACAGCAAATCTCTATATTACAAAAAGAATAGGTTTGGCAATTTTTCTAAAGAAATCTATCTTGTGGGAAATTATAACTAATTTTTTAAACTTCATCTGGGATTTAAATTCTTAACGTAGTGACCAACTGCACTTTATTTTAAACCACATCATTCAATTACACCTAATTAATTAATGAACTTGGCTAGGTTCATACAAAATGATAAAAACAATAATTTATTTGAATGGGTTCAAGCCAAAACTAACAAACTACATTACAATAAATCAACAATGGCTTTTTAAATGCTTGTTGACCAAAAATAAAATCTAATGCAATTATGATTTAGCCATTATGAGAATTTTAGCCTGATGTAATATAAATATAACAAAAGCATGTTATAGCATTTATTAACAGGTGAAATTTTATTTTAAACATTATTTCACAGAGGTATTTCACTGTCTTAGCATATACAAGGACACTTAGATAGGAAATATGGCACATTTTCTCCAGCTAAATCAGTGGTTGTTAAAGTAATACTTTTTATTAAACAAGGGAGTAATTTGAGCATATTATGAGGGTAATGAAGCAATTTGTAATTGCTTATTTGTGAATCAAGGATGCACTTTACAAGTCTATGTAAAACATAATACCACAATCCATAGTATAAGCATACTTATATTTATCCTTTCCCATCCTCTTGTCCCCTGCAATCCCTGTAATGCTCCAAATCCCATGCTGGTAATTTCACAGTTGCAGGCTAGAGGTACAGATTATCTCTTGACTGCTATGCTGTTGAATGCCACTCCAAGAGGAGTAAGAGTTAACAATGGAGAGTTACAGGCCAATATATTTAAGAATGCAGCTTTACTATTATTCCCCACTTTGAAAAATAGTATTAAATGGGAATAGTACTTTTTAGAAGAGAATTTTGGAGTTTTTCAAATGGAAGCCATTTTTGGCTAAAAGAATAAACCACTTTTTAAAATGTTAATATGATTGTACTCACCATTTCTGGTTTTGATACCATGGCACAATATCCACTATATTTTGTCACTCCATCATGAGGTACAGTAGTATTGAGGTTCCCAGACAGGACAGCATACTGTTTATTCTTATCTAGCTTTAGATAAATTTCACTTTTCCCTCCAATCGCTGTGTCAGAACCGAGCACCCATTTATTTAAATCTTCTTCACTACGAAATTCCCATATCACTTTTGTCTGATTCAATAAATAATCTTCCATTGGTTTTTGGTCAACCTCTTTCATAAAATCAACTACCTCTTTCTTTACAAGCCCACATTGTGTTTTGAGTTCTTCCACTACATTCTTAAAGTTATCAATTGCCTTCCATGGTGAAATTTTCTCAAGAGATGTTCCAGGTCTCTGATAGCCACTAGACCATCTTGCATGGTGACCATCTGCAAGAGTCCTACACAAACTACTTTGGCAGTGGTTTTTGTTTACCAAAGAGAGACAATCCAGCATCTTGAGAAATGAAGCCATAAGCGAATTTTGATGAGTAGCTTCCCTTAACCAAACGGTATCTATTTCTGATTAATGCAGGTTATCTTTACCTGTTATAATACAAATAAAAATATTTTTAAATGAAATATTTGTTTAATATTTTTAGTTCCATTTACTTTCCCAAATATACCAAGTTATAGATACCTTGTTAACTGTATTATCATAAGTAACACTATCAATAACCTAAGCTGCATAAGCAAAACCGATACCATATGACATATACAATGTTCTTAAAACAAAAAAATAAAATCAACCTTTTCATTTGTGACACCTTTACTGCAAAAGGAAATGAAAAAAATAAAAATAAAATAAAATTCTCTATTTATGTTTTAACAGAACTGCACACATAAACTCAGCAATGTGAACACAATCTGGAAAATACCGGTTATTTAAACAAGCATTCATCAAACTTCTGTTTGTTAGGTAAAGACTTTATTGAGTCAAGATCAATTTTGGTGACTATATGGTCAGGGCCACATGCAAGTTTGCCACTGCCTTCTTCTGAACATTTCATTTTGCAGCCTAGTCTGCAATCCTGGGATTTTCTGCTGATCCCCCATCCAACTATTAACCAAGTTGAATTCTGCTTGACTTTCTGGGGTATCACCTAAGATTCACTAAGTCAGGGGTTCTCAAGCTTGGCAACTTTAAGACTTGTGGACTTCAACTCCCAGAATTCCTCAGCCAGCTTTTTTGAAAAAGCTGGCTTAGTGATTAAGTCTTGCTGTGCCTTTTAAAAACCTTTAAAAAAACCTTTATCTACTCTATAATTAGGGGCTCTGATTCAAAAGAGTTTCCATGGATGCTGAGAGAGAAACTCTGAGAAGTTTCTCTTCTCTCAGAAACTCTTAAGAAGAGTTTCCTGGCTGGCTTGAAATAACTTTTTCAATATTTATTCACTCTTAAGAAGCATCATTAGATAGGGAAGACCAGATAGCTGTAAACCAGTAAACCCACTGAGCGGGACAATGCACTCAGTTCGCTCTGTTTCTATCCTTCTCCGTCGTCTTGGCTTTCTGCTTCCTTGAAGAAGTAGTAAGTTCACCCCTAACTTGCAACCAAGTTTCACTTAATTCTCATTCCCAATACAGTAGATGATGATGATGATGATGATGATGATGATGATGATTACCCATTCTACTAATGCTGACTGGGGATGATGGGTGCTGTGGTTCAACGGGGAGTTAACCTTTGCAAAGTGCGATCCCCTTCGCTCACCTTGCATTCGCCGCCGTCTTTCGGCCCGAGTTCTCCGCCGGCAAGTCCAACTCTGAAAGTCGTCCGGACTCCTCAAGGAAAGACAGCCTAGAACAAAGGTTCCGTTTCGTTTCCCTCGAGTAGATCAGGACCGCAGAACAAGAACATTTTCTGCTCCGACTAGAAAATCGGTGGCTTTTAGTGCTTTTTTAAAAGATGGAGAAAGGAGGATGTTTCATTTACTGATTTATTTTTTTTAGCCTGGTCGAAAAGCTCTCCAACGGAAGAGAGCTGACGTAAACGGCAACAGGACAGAAGGGGCTTCCAAGATCCTAATAGGCCCTCTCCTTCAACGACGGGCCTAGCCAAGGTTTTATATTGCCTGTAATGGGTCTTAAGCGTTCACTAGTTACAAAAAAAAAAAGAACTACGTGCCCCCATTTAAGGCAACCACCCCACCATCGCTCGCTCTCTCCTCCGACAGCGGCTCCCTCGGGACCACAGCACAGCCTACCCACCCCCCACCCCCAACTGACGCGGGAACGCCCCTTAACTCCGCCCCCGGCTCAGCGCCTAACGGCCAGTAGCGCTTTCTACGCCGGCCACGCCTACATCCGACGCGTTGCATGGCGCATGCTCGGTGCCCTTTGTGTCCCGGGCTGGCTGGCTGGCGGGCGGGCTGGCGAGCGGCTCGGTGGCTTGGCAGAGGCCTGCCGCTCGGAGTGCCGCACCGTCCGCTGGGCCCGCTCTGAGGAGGGGACGGGAGCGGCGGCGCGAGTTCCGCCATGGTGAAGAAGCGGAAAGGCCGGGTCCTCATTGACTCCGACACCGAGGACAGCGGCAGCGAGGAGAACCTGGACCAGGTGAGAGTGGTGGCGCTACCGCCGCCGAACTGGGCCCCAGGGCTCCGTCCTCGCTTTTGCCTGGGTCGGTGTGGATGGGTGCCGTAGATACCCCCTCGCATCCAAGCGGCTTTCGTCTCTCTCTCTCTCTGCCCGGAGTGGTGCAGGAGTCAGGCGGCTCCTGAGGGAGAGGGGAGAGCGTGTGGTTTTATATACATGAGGGTCGCCAAGAGAGGAGTCTCGCAGCAAACGTGGTTGAGGAGATGATGGAGCAAATGGGCTTTTGAAACGCGGGGTTGTCGATGCAGCGAAGGCGAATAAGAAGAGCTTGGAGTTAGGCGAAAAGGATCCAGTCTTGGCAGGTGGCAGGATGGAGAGGCTGTGTTGTGACTTGGAGAGCCGTGAGGGTGAGATCTAGTTGAACATTGAGTTATTCCCCCCCCGATAGTTGTGGGAATGATGGGCGATGGGAACCTTTGCAACCCCCTTTCTCTGTTGTGTCGCTTCTTTCTCCTCCGATAAACTCTATATCATTTATTTCGATTTTCTCCTAGGTTTTTGTACCTACCTCTTGATTTGCAACCCTTGCTTGAACTTACCCAGTTGCTCAATGTCTTTGCGGCATTTCTAGAGTTAATAATAATAATAATAATAATAATAATAATAATAATAATAATAATAATAAAGTTGGAAGGGACCTTGAAGGTCATCTAGTCCAGCCCCCTGCTCAGGCAGGAAACCCTATACCATTTCGGACAAATGGCTGTCCAGTCTCTTCTTAAAAACTTCCAATGTTGGAGCATTCACCGCTTCTGGAGGCAGGTTGTTCCACTGGTTAATTGTTCTCACTGTCAGGAAGTTTCTCCTTAGTTCTAGGTTGCTTCTCTCCTTGATTAGTTTCCACCCGTTGCTTCTTGTCCTGCCTTCAGGCGACTATATTGCTGTTTGTACCAAAGAAGATTCCCCTCCTGTAGATTATGTTAGGGTGCGCTTGCTGTTGCTGGATTTTATATACTGAGATTAATTTTGTCTCTAATCTTGCCTTTTTCAATGAGGCACCACTGTGGGTGGCGTATTCTATCATTCCATGAGAAGATTCTAAATTCCAGTCATTACGTCTTAAATAGATTTTTTGGTGGAAGGCTGCTTCATATTTTGCGGAAGGCTATTTCATATTCTCCATTAATATGCATATTTTTCTGGGTTGTTCTTTGTGTATGAAAACCATGTAATCATAGAACAGTGAGCAACTATTGTAGAAACTAGGCCAAAATCAGTAAATGATAATATACATTTTGGATAGGAATATCACAGTTTTTGTCCATGTCTCCACTTGTATCTAACCATAGTACAAACATGCCCATAGTTTTTTGTACTGAGTCCCCATGATGGCTTAAGTCATCCTTGGCTGTACCAGTGCTATCAAACTGTTTCCCTTTTTATTTTGACACCATCCACGGACTGCCTCAAGGTTCATAAAATCTAGGAGGGAATTCAGATGATTGGGAAGAGAGGGACAGTGGGTTTGGCAATAGGGATAACATATTTTATCCCAATAGAGTTTCCTCCTAATATTAGGGATGGGTGGAAAGCATGATAATCAGCAAAGAAATTATCTTTTGTGTTGCTCTTGGGTTGAAAAGCAGGATTTGATTGCCACTCCTGAAGTGTATAAGTTATTGAGAGTAATATATATTCAACAAGGAAACCATAGAATCAGACTTGATTGTATCATGTGAAAAGTCCCCTGATATCTTCTCTCTCTCCTTTGTGGTATCCTAAAACAGTTTTCCAGAGTCTAGAGCTTTCTAAATTTAACAAACTCTTATCGCTACTAGTTGGCATCAGTATGGCTGTACATTATAAACTGCAGATAATAGCAGTGCAGTCTTAACATACTTGATGTATACTAAATCGGAAAAGGCTGTGATAGAGACAGAGTTACTGATGAACTTTTCTTAATCTTGACTCATTAGCTTTCTATCAAGAAAAGAAAGTTTATAGTGGAGAAGTTGAGCATGCAAAAAACAGTTTCTTGTAGAGAGTATTCAGTAGGGAATAGGGAACAGGATAAGAAACATAAAGATTTCATTTTTTTTTTTCTTGAAGATGTATTGATCATATGTTAAGGTATTATGTGTACCTTTAACTCAATTACAAGTTTTCATTATTATTTCATTTCATCTTCAAAGTTAGAATTGTTTCTTATAGTAAGTCAGTGTCACGTATTTTGTGGCATGATACAAAATATTCTCAATATTAATATTCATAACTTATGACACTTTTTCAGGGAATAACTAAGCTGAACTTGCTTCAACAGGAAGATGCCTATTTTATCTGTTTTACAACTATTTGGCATGGGAGATACACTGTTGGAATGATGTGACATGACGCCAGCTAATGGATATCTATGGAAACTTGCATCTCTGTTCAATTTATCATAATTATGAACAATTCCTATGTTTTTTTTTATGTGTTCATTTGGATAACTAATGTAGCCACCTTACTTATAAGGATTCCCTTGTTCCAGCTGTTTCCTCCTTTTAGATTGGGTGAAGATCTATTGCTATGTTATTGGTTAATATAAGGAATTGAAAATTGGTGAAGGAAACTAGACTCTCCACCAGACGTAGTTTCAAATATTAATTAATTACTGAAAAAGCCTTTATATTCATCTGTTCACAATTAACTGCAGTACCAAAATGCCCAATTCCTTCTCAGGGTTTCATGATAGTGTCTACAATGCCTTGTCAGTCTGGAAATTCCATAAATTTTTATATGCATTTCGCTGTTAATGAAAACTAAGATTCAAGCATATCAAGTTGTTGGCAGTTTTCTAGAATAGATGGAGTGTATTTCTTAGTTTTAAAGAATTTCAATATTTTCCAACCCTGATGGATTCTGGTCCATTTGGATCTCTCTCATAATCCTCCATCCACATATTTTGAACCCATAGTTTCATTTCTGGATTAATAGCTTCTAGATTTTTTTTTTTTAATAGTGGGGTATAGAAACTTATCCTATTTCCCATTATCTTTCATTGGCAAAAGAAAAGAGAAGAAAAAAATGAGATCAAATATGTGAGGTTCTATAGCAGACTTGATTAGTGTATGAAATCCGATATCTCCTAGGAATTAACACTTATTGAAACAGAACGATACATTATGGTAAATCCAAGTGCCACAAGATTGTTCACGGTTTCATCTCTAACATCAAATTTATTCTATAGAATTTGGATTATTATGTTCTCATTCCACCAGCCTGTGTGCAAGGGCATGAGGTTGGTGTGTGGGTGGTCTCTTAGGACAGTGGTGGCAAACCTATGGCATGCGTGCCAGAGGCGGCACTCAGAGCCCTCTCTATTGGCATGCGCGCCACCGCCATCAGCAGCAGATCCATCAGGCTGCCACTGCCGCCCAGAGCAGGAGCCCCGCCCAGCACAAAGAAGGCGAAGCGGCCGACTAGCAAGCTCGAGTAGAGATGGTAAAGCAGAGGTCACCAACCATTGTCGATTGGTGGACTGGAAGAAAAGGGAGGGGGAAGCATTTTACATGCGTGCATGCACACATGGGGCCATGAGCACGCATGCACTGCAAATGGGGTGGGGCTAGTGCCTGCATGATACTCACTAGCCCTGCCTCGTTCTTATGTGGTGCAGCACCTTGTATCTGTACTCTGTGGTGCCGCGGTGGCCATTTTTGCGCCTTGTAACATGGTGGTCCATTTTTGCGCCTCCAGTTTTTGCATGCCAGAAGCGGCATTCAGAGGCACCTCCCTGCTCCCCCCTGAGGGCACCACAACCTTGGCAACTTTAAGACTTGTGGACTTCAACTCCCAGAATTCCTCAGCCAGCAAAGCTTGTTGAACTGAAAGTTTTTAATAGTTGAGAAGTGGTTAAGTAGTTTCCAAAAATGATTAAGCAATGAGACTCTGGGAACCGTCTGTCCTTGTAGGTTACATTATGGCCGTGAGCTTCATTGAATCCCGTTGACTCCCAGCTGCTTGACTCACAAGTCAGCCACAAGAATCTTAAATTCTGCGGTCTACTCATAAGTCGCAATCTCACAATCTGTCTTTTACCCGAAAAAGACTGTGCTGGGTTACAGATCACCATCTGACCACCATCCCCACTGCCATTCTATGCCCAGTCCTTCAGGGATATCTATTTTGGCATAAATCCTCACCTGAAGTCGTACGTTTTGAATATTTTGGGGGTACTTTGCATTCATTTGTAAGTGAGAAAGCCTAGCTGAATAATGCTTTTATCAGAAAAGACAGTTAATGGCTGTGGAAAGAGACTCTCTCAGCAAAGTTTGAGTGTTCCCCAATAAATATTTGCACAAGCCATATACTAAATAGAATCTTTGTCACATGACAGAACATGGGGTTCTTGTAAAAAACAAAAACAAATTTCAGGACAAGTTGTATAGACTGTAATTCTCTTAGAATGGAAATTAAAACTTTGATCATTCTGTGCAGTTACTATATACAGGTAGTCCTCGACCTACGACTACAATTGAACTAAAAATTTCTGTTGTTAAGTGAGATATTTGTTAAGTAAGTATTGCCCTATTTTATGACTAGCCATGTTTCAGTTGTTAAGTGAATCACTGCAGTTAAGTTAGTAACTCGGTTATTAAGTGAATCTGGCTTCCCCACTGACTTTGCTTGTCAGAGGATCTTATAAGGTAATCACATGATTTTTGGGACAACAATAACGGTCATAAATATGACCCAGTTGTCAAGCACCTGAATTTTTATCACGTGACCATGGGGATGCTGCAAAAGTTGTAACTGTGAAAAATGGTCATAAGTCACTTTTTTCAGGGCCGTTGTAACTTTGAACAGTCACTAAATGAACTGTTGTAAGTTGAGGACTATATATAAATTAAGAAAAATACACCAGAAGGAATGTACTAAAGGCTCAATGCAGAAATTCCTCACCCCCACCAACTCGAGGCAAAGGCAGACACGTCCCTTAAAATCATGTCTTATATAATAAAAGACTGCTACTTTCTAAGCTTCATCTAGTCCCAGTCTATTTGTAGAGTCCAAGTTGAAAAATGTTTTCAACCTTGGAAGAAATTGTTAAAGAAAGGAAAAAATGTTTAATACTCTTTTCTCCTACTGTAAGAGGAACTCCATTAAATAATTTGTATTTATCAATTATGTGTGGAAACCACTCTGGAGAAAATGCTAATCATCTTAGCATTCCATACTAAAAATTCCAGTTGCTAAGATAAATGCAAAATATAGTTCCACAACAGGACAGGGTTTCTGTACGGAATGAAAGCAGAAACCCAGAAAATAAGCAATTTTACTCTTCAATGTATATTCTATCTGCACTGAGATACTTCATGTATGATTTTTTTCCATGGGCTCATATGGAGTGTTCTTGCTCAGTTTTGTGACAGATGTTTAAAAACCATACATTATTTCTGCAAACCAGAAACTATATACAGGCCATTTCACCTTGAACAATTTTATTTCCTTTTAACACTGTTACTGCACCTGTGGTTTGTTGTTTAACAGAATTTTAAAGTTGAGTGATTTTTTTTTTTCGTGTTTGTCTTTCAGTAACAAAAGTTTTAGTAAGAATTGTACCACAATCTTATTCAAAGAATCCAGGTTCTAAATCATCTCAAATTAATGTAGTTCAGTTTATTGTGAAATGCTTATAAATTCATACGTTCTAAAAGAATTTAAATTATGAGCAAGATGTTTTAAAATGAAAAGCAACCTCAAGTACCCCAAAGCCCAAAACATATTTTCCAGTACCGTGCTTTACAGTTGGTATCAGGTTCTTCTAGTGAAATGTTATCTTTGATTTTTGCCAAACATGCTTTCTGGTACTATGGCCAAATTGCTCTGTCTTTGCCTTGTCTGTCCAGAGCACATTGTTCCAGAAGTCTTAGTCTTTGCCTAAGTGTTCATGAGCAAACTTTATTCATGTGCTGATGTTTGTTCTGGATAGCATAGGTTTTCTCCTGGCAGAACTTCTCAAGCAGATTGAATCTGTGCAGCTTTTTTTTTAATGGTAGACTCATACACTTTGATACTATGGTGAGGAGTAGGGGCTATCAGACTTCTTTCAGCTATTTGCATTCTGATCTCAGGCTGAACTTGCTAGGATGTCCTGGTAGTACTTCATAGTTCAACCACAAAGAGCAAATCAAACTAAATTGCTTCCTCCCATATGAAGTTGCAAATCATTTGCATCTGATCTGGGGCACCTGATTCTACGTTTAGTTATTTGAGGTAGTGATAAACATAGGGATTGACTTATTTTTTCCAAATATGAAACTTGCATTTCTGTTTATTTAAATTACACAATAAACCACAAAATATAAACGAAGATATAACATTTGTTATGTGCCTTTATCTGTATTGCTGAAATGAAGATCAAATATCTGTATGTTAAAGTATGTTAAAAAGTCAAAAATTTCAGTGAGGTGTACTTATTTTTTCATATGACTATAACTTTCTACATATGCCTCCTCCTCCTATACAGATGCTTAGTGACTTTTCCAAAGTATTTTAAAGAATTGCATGGGTAAAAAAGGGAATTCCTATTCCTTGTGTAATCTTGGAATTTGCTCTTTATTTTGACAAAGTATGTGAATTAATCTTTAGTGATTGTGATACCAATACCAAATACTCAGTTAAATAATATAAGAGCCATGGTGGCACACTAGTTAGAATGCAGTATTGCAGGCTAACTTTGCCCAAAGCCAGGAGTTTGCTGCTGACCAGCTCAAGGTTGACTCAGCCTTCCATCCTTCTGAGGTTGGTAAAATGAGGACCCAGATTGTTGGGGGCAACATGCTGACATTATAAATCGCTCAGAGTGTACTGTAAAGTATTATGGAGTGGTATACAAGTCTAAGTGCTATTGCCATAATGCATTTTTGAATATCTGAAAATGCTTTGCTAATAACAGTTTTAAGTTCAGATTTTTAAAAGAAAAATCAATGGTTTTTACGGCCAAGTTGTGGAATTACATATGACATAATGTTAGTACTTCTTCAGGTCTGTCTGTCTGTCTTCGTTCCAACATTGTGTGAAATTGGCGAGCAATCCTACTTAATAAGAATCAAAACAGTAAAAATAGAATACTGCAAATAATAAAAATCCCCCTATTAACTAAGAAAAGTCAGGCTCCCAAGAATTTTATTCAGAAAGAGGTTCAAAGGAGCAAGAGTCTAATAGGAAGGACACATTTTTCATTTTGGTTTGTACGGCAGACCTTATCACGACATATTATTTTAAAGAATTTTAAGCATTTCTTTAAGCATCCTATTTAACATTCTGTTAGGATTCAGATGGGAGATTTGAGTGGAAATTACTTCTCTTCAACTTTGGAGAGAGTTCATGCTTAAGGAACTCTTTATTTGTGTTCTACCAGGAGCTCCTGTCATTGGCCAAGCGGAAACGTGGTGATTCTGAAGAAAAGGAAGCACCTGTTAGCAAGCCTACAGCATCTTCAGACTCTGAGACTTCAGATAGTGATATTGAGGTTAGTCTGTGTTTAACTGTAAATTGAATAAAACAAAGTAATGTGAATTCGTTCAGTTCTGGTGCTGAGATTATTCACATTAAATATGAAAGACATTTGTGAGGGTTAGACACACTTGACACTGCATGACTTTGTGATAGTGTATATTATGAGTTGGGGAGTAGCTAATATTCCCTTGATTCCTGTGGAAAAATTATCTCAAAATGGTTGCTCTTAAAACAAATCTTAAAGGAAAACTCCAAAGAGTGATTCTCTAGTCTAACTTATCAGGAAGTTCAATCCTATCATCTCTAATGTAAAGATAATTTTCATCTGAATTTTATTTATTGACGGGACATGGTTAAGGAAAGCATGCAATGTTTTTGGCAATAAAGTTGGCTTGTTTTCACTATGTAGTTACCTGGAGCTAAAGTTTTGAATGATACACTAAATTGGTAACAGTCCGAGTTCAAGTGGAGTTTTCCAATTACAAAAGCAATTGCTTTTGCTCTTGTGGTAATAAACAGTAGTAAACAGTGGTTTAGTGTTGTATCTAAATGAAACTGTTTTCCAGTTTATAAAATATTTGTTCAGTTCTTCATTCCCTTTTCTAGAAAATAAAAGTTTTGCTATTTTGTTTGCATATAGTTATAATACAATATTATTTTTGTTTTATAGCTGTGATTTTCTTAACTCGTCAAATTAAATTTTGTTCAGTTGTGTAAGCATGTACATTAAAATCCGAACGTCTATACATTTAGCTTCATGAAATCTTTGAAGATACTTCAGCCTTGTCTCGTAACTCCTATCTTTCCTTTTATGCTATAGTGGACAGTAGGGGGTTCTAAAAACAAAAAGAAAGGAAAAGCTGCAAAAGTAGAGAAGAAGGGAGCCATGAAGAAACAGATGAACAAAGCAGCTTCATCAGGCAGCTCCGACAAAGATACGTCTGCAGAGAGTTCAGCACCAGAAGAAGGTAACAAAAAAGGATGCATGTATTAGTGATGGGAAGAATTCATATATGGGCTGAATTTACATAGCATATTTACCCAGCCCAATTTTCTTGGTTGGTACAGTCCACTGATCCATAACTGTACAGGTTGGATTCAAATAAGTTTGGTTAAAGTGTGGTAAGTTAATTTGGGATTCAGGGTATCATAAGAACATACCCACATTCTTTAGAGATTAGACCATAGATTTTTTTTCTCTAGTTCAGGGGTCTTCAAACTTCAATTGCCCAAGGAATCTTTCTCAATATGAAAAATCAGTGAAAAACCCATTAAAAAATCATTTCATGTAATACATTTTATTAACCCTTGGGTTCCAGAGAACATAGTTTGAACACTATAGCTCTAGATAATTTATTAACAGTAGGCCAAGTTGATATACCAAAAGTTAATAGAAGTCCATTTCAGGCTCTTTTCATATTTGGATATAAAGGAAACAGAGGAAAAATGCTTTATGTCTTTATTCAAAAGATAGCTTTATTTTCAAAGTCAATTCTGAGTATTTCCTATTCATATGGGTAGCTCTTGCTTAATAACCACAATTGGGACTGATAACTTTATTTCTGAGCAATGTGGTCATTAAATGAAATGTGATGTAATAGGATTATAACCTCATTTCTGCCAAGGCTATTAAATGAATCACCTACAGTCATTAAATGAAACCTCATATGACCACAACTTGCAGTTTTATTACCAGTTTCTCCACTGATTCTGCTTGTTGGCCGTGAAGGTTGCAAATGGCTATGACATGATCATGGGATGCAACAGCTGTAAATGCCTGCCAACTGTGAAAGGTCCAAATGACAATCACATGACCACGAAGTTGCTGCAGTGGTCATAAATGTGCTTTTAGAGACTATCTTGCAAGCCAATGTACTGGTGACTACTCAAAAACACCGAGGCATATTCAGAACTTTTGGATTCTGATATTTACTCAGTAATAACAAATATTAATGATGAACAAATGCTACCAATAAGTCTATAGAAAATGCACTCCCTGCTATCGCTGTAGTCTTTCTTGTCAAGCAGTACAGGTTTCAGGATTGATACCAAGACTGTATAATAATAAGTATCTATGGAATGCCAGTGCCTAGCATTCTAAAAGCTTGTTAGTAACTGTATACTTAAATATAAATCACATTCCAATAAAACACCTGAAAAATATTTCTGGGGGGAGAAGCCAAATATAGAGAATTTGGGTTCAGTGTAGGAAAAATATAGCTGTAAAGAAGAGGATACAGTTTGGATGAGGAAAATTATAAAGAACAAGATTTTTCAGCTATTTTTATTTTTAATAAATTTTGGAGCTTTGGTTTACTTTTCAGAGTGCTCTTGAAATGTGGTATTGCTGGTAACCTAATTTGCATTTGGGAATATTCTGAATTCTTGAGTTTCTTGGACCTTTGGCAAATTCCTATAGATTTTGCTTTAAAGTAATTTCTATTCAGTCCTACAAGTTAATTTTATATGGAGTCGGTCTAGTTAATCAAGTAATCACAGTTCAGCAAGGGCTAATAAGGATCTATGAAGTTTATTATCTTTAACAGTTTCAAGGTTTGTCAGTGACACATGCTGACTTCTCACAAGCATGTGAGGCATTCTATTATTATTATTCTATGTACTGTTTTCTAACCATAGCTTTCTAGCTTAAATGGTAGGCATCTGCCTGCAAAGCTTAGAATTCAAATGTAACTGGGTATGCAGAGGCAGAATGGAGATGCATGAGTAAGAAAAAATGGTTATGAGCCTTTCCTAATTATGAGTTCCTTGATTGCCTCCCAGTAGATGATTCTCTCCGTTTTCTTTCAGGGGAAGTATCTGACTCTGAAAGCAATGGCTCTTGCAGTAGCTCAGACTCTGAAACTTCATCTGAAGATGAATTTACTGATGGCTATGGGGAGGATTTTATGGGTGACGAAGAAGATAGAGCTCGCCTAGAACAGATGACAGAAAAAGAAAGAGAGCAGGAATTGTTTAATCGGATAGAGAAGAGAGAAGTTTTGAAGAAAAGGTGAGTTTTTGGGCAGCCGTTTCATATTACTGTATTTATGCAACATTCATATCATTTTGGACTTTTTCAGATAAATATTTTCTTTCCTTTTGCTGCATATCATTTTTCAGGTTTCTGAACAAAATGCCAGCAAATTGGTTTCTGGCTAGTGTTTGGTTTTTTCCTGTGAAAAACAAGCATAGCTATAGAAGAAATGTATATGCATAAATAATTATCATTAAAATGTAAGATGGTACCTGTATCTTTTGGTTTTTCATTTCACTTTTATTGATCCATGGTTAAGGCAACGCAGTTACTTGATCATGACAGAAATAATGGGGTACAATTAGAGGTTTGCATAAAATGAGAAATGTGGTTTTTCTCCATGCATGGACTAAAACAGGGGTCCTCAACCTTGGCAACTTTAAGACTTTGCTGGCTGAGGAATTCTGGGAGTTGAAGTCCACAAGTCTTAAAGTTGCCAAGGTTGAGGACCCCTGGACTAAAATGTTACTGCTCCATGCATGGACTAAAATGTTACGTTCGGTCACACCGTTCTAAGTCTGTCATTTTCCATCAAAGTAGATGAGGTTTCAACCAAAGCAAATATGGATGAGTATAAAGGAGGGCAAGGCTGGAGCATGTAGTCCCTTTTCCCCTACTTCTCTTCATGGTCTGTGTGTTCTAGTCCATCTAATAATTTTCTCAGTATCCATCTTTCTTTTGCTTTCTCTTAGCCCAGGGGTGTCAAATGCCGGCCCGCGGGCCAGTTGCATCATGCAGAGGCTGCACCCACCCCAGTCCAGCAATGCAAAAAAAGTCGTGATACATCACAACATGTCACATGACGAGTTTGACACCCGTGCCTTAGCCATTCACAATTGAATTCACAGGTCTGATCAGCCTGTGCGACCTACCTGGTCTTCTTCATGTTTTTTCCCCCCATCACTACCTCATGTACATCTGAATTCTGTGCTGCTGTGTGGCCCGTTTCTCTCTGCTGCTGGGTGCTGCCACCCTTTCCTCCACTATCTCCAGCTTGGAGCACCTTTTTGGAACGTATATTTTCCACGGCTGTGCATAGACAAAAGCACTTCTCAATTTTGCACAATCTGTTCATGGTCGTCTCCACAGTCAAAACACCTTATATAATGATAGTCATTTTGCACAACACTGGTAACAATTGAGAGGTTAATAAATGTTGTAGAAATAATAATGCATCACAGTGCAGCCCAAATATATACAGAAGAAATATAAATAAATATAACGTTGACTGTTTCTCAAAAAAAAAAAACCTGGCCAAACCTCCAAGTGTAAAAGCATTTACAATTCTATATCCCTTTGTTGTAAGAAATACATGTGCATGCAACAACTCACAGCAAATTACTAGGATCCAACTGCCATTATCAGTAGGAAACCAGAAATCCAGTCTATTCCAGACAGCTGATAGGCTGCTTTGGTTTCTTGCCATTAAACTGGCTAGTCAGGAAGAGTGGGCAGATTCTCCACAGCTCTGCATCTGACTTTTTCAAGATACATATGAAAAGGTCTCTGAAGCACTGAAAATGTAGCTGTTTCCCCAGGCCTTGAGCTAAAGTGGGTGGCAGGTCCTGTATGTTTCTCTTTTAAATGTTGCTTTTCTTTTGGGAGTTTTTTGTTTCAAATGTTTTTACTGTACACTGCCCAGAGTTGCTAGAGAGGTGTAAATAAATTTCTTAAATAAAATATATGAACATTATTTATAACAAAAGTTATTTTCCTTCTAAAAAAAGCTTTACGTCTCATAATTCTACATATTAGTTTCTGCTTTGGAATTAAATAAGTATTTAATAGTGCCAGTAATTTGCATAGTTTAGATTTGAAAAAATCTCATTTACTGCAAATGTTATTTATTTATTTATTGATTAAATTTGTATGCCACCCATATCACACTGTTACAAAAGATTTAATCATTTTATGCCTTTAGAAAACAAAAAAATTAAAAATAATATTTTACATTAAGTTTGAATTCAGTGTACCAATTTGCTTCTTCCTGAATTAATTGGAGACTTCTACTTATTTTTTCCTTTGATTGAACCCAGGTTTGAAATAAAGAAAAAATTAAAGACAGCAAAAAAGAAAGAAAAGAAAGAGAAAAAGAAAAGGAAAAAGCAAGAAGAAGAACAGGAAAAGAAAAAGCTCACACAGATCCAGGAATCCCAGGTAAGAAATATATAAATCACACTTTATAAAAAAAAAATTGAGACTACTTATAACATATTTGTAAGATTGCTTAAATTACCATTTATCTAACTACATCTAACTACACTGGATAAATAATTAGTCCTTAATGCTGTAACCAAGTATTTTAATATCATAAAATATTCTGAGCTGATTCTTTTATATAATGTCTCTTATTTGCATAGCAGTCTTTGATAAAACTAATTGTGATAATATATCTGTGTTTTGCCTGTTGCAGCAAAAGCAAATGTTTCATAATGAATTATATCCAGTGCTACATGAGTGAAATCGACCGTAAAGTCCTTTCTCCTCTCTGTTTTATGTCCCCCTGTAATGCCAGAAATTTCTCTAGAACAATATGTCATGATTCCAACAGATGAAACTCTTCAAAAGAACTTCGAGGCATTGTTTACCTTAAAGAATCTTTTATTCGAGAAACAAAGTATCGGCACTACATAGTCGAAACCAAAAACTAAATTCCCCTCCCCTGGATACAAAGTAACAAAGCACAATTCCCTCCTCCAATAAACAGTCATAAATCACATTCCCCAATTAGCTTGAAGTGCTCGCTTTCTCCCCAGCTCTCCAGCCCGCCAAAACTCTATCAACTCTGGGCCCAATGGCCTTGGGTTCCCACGGCTGAGTTATTATTGTTATGACTAGCTGGACTCTCATCCACATTCCCCCTCCCAACATCAACTAACTCTAAAAACAATAGAGAAAAATGGCTGCATTTCTATCTGTTGTCAAAGCAAGTACATCTGATGTTAGCAGTGGGTTCCCTAACATCCTTTCAGCTGTCCGCAAAATCAAAATTATTTACCAGCCTATGTTGAAAAATAATACAATATTAAAATCCACTCAATTGTGAGAAGTGGTAGCAGTAATGGATGGCAGAGGAACAGCTGCAGCCCTTCCTGGACCTATCCAAGCAGCAGGGTTGGCAAGCTGGTTGCAGACAATGGCATCTCAGCATCAGGAGCACTGAATGGTGTGGAATGGTATGGGAGGCTAGTGGTGTTGCTGGCGGGGCTGTGGATTAGGTATTTTTGCTGAAGCTGTCTGGTGGTATTTGGGCCGCCCCTGAAGATACAGCGGGCCACAGCCTATTTTCCATCTTCCATTTTGTGGTGTACTCTGGGAAAAGGTTGGCAGGTTGGCCTGTTTTCTACATTACAGTGGCTATGGTTGCAGCCCTGGGTGTTGGAGTCCTGCTTGAGAGGAGGACTGGGATACCCAGGTGAATGCTGGTGGGTGGGTGATGGTGCTGCAGAAGAATGGATGTGCATCCTGTGGCTGCCACCTAGTCCAGCAGCCATCTTACTGGCTGCTTCTTCCTTTTTTTATAGGACTCAGGACTTGAATGGTCTGTTTTGTTTAGGTTGTGGTAGATTGCGCCCTAAAACAAATACCTGTACTGGCAAAGATATTGTGGGCTTGGGACTGTTTTGTTGGAGTGGGACCAACAAAATGAAATATGCCAACTTTTGCAAAATCTACATAACCAATATTTTCTAGATGATCAAAGCATGATATTAGAAAACCATGCATGGGTAAAAATTCCATTTAAAGTGCACTAGATTGTAATATAACCAAATATGAAAAGTTCATGTCAGATTTAGCATCACACCTAACATTTCAGAAACTACCTCTTATCGAGTTTTGGTGTAGTATTAAATAAAAATATCCACAATTATCTAAAAAGGCTGTCAAAATACCACTCCCTTTTCCAAATAAACATTTGTGCAAAGCCAGATTTTCTTCATATACATCAACTAAAACATATCATAATAGATGATACACAGAAGCAAATATGAGAATTCAACTATCTTCTTTTAAGCCAGATTATGGAAAATATTTCCAAAAATTTAAAATAGTATCTCCTCATTTTTATTTAAAAAATCATGAAAAATATGTTAATATCTAATAGACTTAATGATTATTTTTACATGATTCAATAATTACATATTCTATGAATCTATCAGTTTTAATTCTTAATATGGTAAACATAGATAAATAGAAATCATGCAAACCAAAGCTGTTTTGAGATCCTCCATAAGTTTTAAAAATAGAAAAGGGTTGAGAGAAAGCAGTTTAAGGAATGCTCCTCTAGAGTAGCAGGAGAATCTGCTCAATATCAATACCATTTCTGGGGCAGCGGTGAAGGAATTTGTTTGGTCTTATTTTATGATGAATAAATATCCTTTAAGACCATCCCAAAGAATAAACTGATATTATATATTTATAAATATTGAAGTTTCATCTTACATTGAGATAGGTATTAGAATTTATTATACCTTTCTTGTTTACACAGAGGTTAGGTTGAAAAAAAATCAACAAAGAGACATTTATTTAACAATGTAATATTACGAAGAGTGTGGAGCAGTGCTGTGGCCTAAAGGTGAAGACACTCGCCTCACACTCAGGAAGTTGGGAGTTCAATCCTAGGCAGGGGCAGATGTTTCTCTATCAGGACACAAAGAGAAAATATCTGCTGCGAACTCTGTAGGCGTCAGGAAGGGCATCCAGCCAATAAACGTTCAGCTCCATTCAGTCGCCTTGACTCCACCCCGATACAAAGGATTACAGGGTTATTAAAAGAAGAAAAGTGTTATGAAGAGGGTGGATAAAATCTAAGTTGTTTACAAAGGAGTTATATCAACAAAATATATCTGTGCTTAATTTCAGAATGTCTGATTAATTTCTCACAAAGGATTAATTTTCCCCCTGCTGGAGATAATGCCAATGTTACTTGTCTTAATTTTTTTCTTTTGTTAAAAAAACATCCAATTATTAACTGCCTCTTTTATTTTTAATATGCCCGTCCCCTTTTCTAAGTTGTCTTAGTTTTATGGCTATATTTGACTGGAACAGTTGCTGAAAACCTGCTTTCGCTTTTGATTATTTATATTCTTTTTAAAGAATCTATACATCAAAATGATTGAATTGACCATTTTTTTTACTATTCATCTGTATATTATGCAATCATTTTTAAAATGTGTATTAAGTTTATTTATTTGATTATTTACTGAATTTGTACTACACTCATGCAAATCGATGGAGGATTTTAATGAAGATTATATAACTTTTTTGTATAGCAGATTAGGTTTATGTTTTTAGCTATATAGTGCAGTTTATAGTAATATATTGCTGTTCAGTTTGTAGATAATACTATAAACCACTAAGGGTTTTTTTAGAGAAACTGTATTTTATTTTTTAAGAAAAATGTAGATGTCACTTTTTGCTCCTGGAGGAAAAGCAGGATATTTATCAGATTAATACAGTAAAAATAAACTTTGCACCAACTGCAAAAATATATATTATTTCCTGTCCTTCTAATAAGCTGCATTTTAAACTGCAATAAAATTTTTAATACTGTACAGAGAAATAAATAAAATCAAAAGATCAATTAAACAGCATAAGAATTATGAGCTTGATTGAATTGACAAAAATATGGAAAAATAAAAAAGGTTTTTGCTCAGAAATACCAAAACTAAAGAGTAGACTTAGGACAATATACCACTGCAAAGGCTCATCTCTTGGTAAAATCTAATCAAATATTTTTTAAGATAGTTGGAATTATATGTTTCTATAGGTGATGTCACATAATAAAGAGAGACGGTCAAAACGAGATGAAAAGTTGGATAAGAAATCCCAAGCCATGGAAGAGCTAAAAGCAGAAAGGGAGAAAAGGAAGAACAGAACAGGTAAGTTCAAACATGTATTGTTTAGTTCAGGAGTCTTCAAACTTGGCCCTTTTATGACTTGTGGACTTCAACTCCCAGAATTCCTCAGCCAACATTGCTTGAAGTTGAAGTCCACAAGTCATAAAAGGGCCAAGTTTGAAGACCCCTGGTTTAGTTGAAGAAAAAAGATAGGATGAACATAAACCATACACTGTAGATTCCACTGAGGTCCCTACTATTTCTATATTATTTATAAGATGGAAAGACATCCTTGATTGTTCTTGAATATTCCTTGTTTTGAAAGAAAGCACAACTTAATCTGGTCCATCATCCTCTTTCTTGTGGTGGCTCACTAGATACTTTTCAGATGCTCATTAGCAATTCCTTCTCTAGTGGTAGTATTCAGAGGCATTGTAGTGTCTTGGACATAGTGCAATGACCGTAATGACTGCCCATTATTGGTAGCCCATTAATTTGTCAAATTCCTTCCCAGATTTTCAAATCAGTAGCTATCACTTCTCTGGTGCTTTTTTTTAACATTCATAAATATATTTTAGATTTCATCAATAATATTTACAGTTGAATTAAATTATCTTTCAGTAAATGTAATTATTTCACAGTGAAGCTAATTTTCTTTGTAATTTTTTTAAAAGCCAAGAGCTATTTTGGATGTGTCTTGTTATTTCTGAACTCTGTTTTGGAAAGTTCCAAAACTATTGCATAGAAATATATTTGGTCAAGTAGAATAAGGGGAAAATGTTTCCCCAATCCAGATCCTGACTGTCACCCTCCAAGTAACAAATGCCATTTCTGTCCCATGCCTAGGCCTGAACTTAGAGTAGAAGAATTCCATATAATCTTCTTCCTTCAGGGCATTCTGCAACAAAAACTTGACCATCATTTTAGGAACATGGCAGTAATTGCCCAACATACCTGGATCCAAGGAAAGCCTCTTTAAAAAGCCTCCCACTGGTATTTAGCATGGCTTCCTTTCCTGGAAAGATGATGATAATAATTCCCCAAAGTGCAGCTAATCATGGCTTTCACAGCCAACCCAAAGGAGCCAAAAAAAAAGAGACATGGATCCAAGCCATAAATGATAGAGCAAATATCAGAGATTCCATATCCACTTCATTAAAAGATGAATCTTAGACCACATTGTAAAGCATCTAGATTCAAATTTAAGCAACTCTTGCAAAAATGTGCAGTCACAGCAGCTTAATTTCCCCCCAATTTTAAATTGTACCAATTGTGCCATTTTATAACAACCCACTGATATAACAATGGTGACAAATTGATTCTTCATCTTTGTTGTCTCCGTGTAGGCTCGAACATGAGTTCTAACACCTACTCAATCAAGTTTACTTACTGTGCTCATCTGTGGATGCTCCAAGCATTGCTTGTGTGGCTTCATCTCTCAGAGTTCTCAGAAAGCTAACCTGGGATTGGCAGACTGAGAAAGATTACTAGGGGGTAATTTTCAGACTCCATAGCTTATTTTGGTACTCAGTGAAATTGTCAGCTTAGTGAAAAATCACAAGTACTCATCAGGATCCAAAAGGGCCCAGGGCAAACCATTTTAATTGGACCTCTCAGTTTTTAGATGTTCTGGATGGTGACAGTTCTCATCTGAACTAGGGAGCAATCTCTGAGCGGACGACTCAGAGTAATATTTTCCATCTTAATATTATATTTACTTTCTTTGAAACAACCAAGAGATCTAACACATGCCTACTTTATGCAACAAGCTCAAGAAATGATCCTGGAGAACAGCAGGTCAGGTGGTACATGAACAGGATCCTCCATTTATATCTGTGGCCCAACTTCATGTACAAGCACTCACATCCTCTCATCGAATTTACTGTCAGTGCTGGATGTACATGTGGCAGAATTCACAAACGTGCTCAATTAAAGACCTGAGAATACGAGCAGATTGCATTGGAGCAGACTTAAGCCAGATACAGCTTTATACACTAAAATGTGGTTCCCCCCCCCCCCATTGTAGCTGAGTTACTTGCAAAGAAGCAACCATTAAAAACAAGCGAAGTATACTCAGATGATGAAGAAGAGGAAGAAGATGATAAATCTAGTGAGAAAACTGATCATTCATCCAGATCTTCATCTTCTGATGAAGAAGAAGAGTAAGTATTCAATATCTACTTTGATATGTAGCAGATACAATTTCTATTCTTTTAGATCTTGAAATTTACATTACTACTTTAATGATTTCTGTCTTCACAGTTCAGTTAATTGTTGTTTGAACAAAAGTGCTATGTAAATATAATAGATAATAGAACATATGGCTCCCTTATCTAGTTAAGTAACTTAATAAAGCTGATGGTACTCACAGCATTCTAGAGATTGCTCATCGAGCCCCTAATTTTAAAAAAATCAAAATATATTTATTTAATTAAAATGCCTACATGTTTATGAATTTAATCGTTTTTATTTTCTAGTATATGAATGTGGTAATTTCAGACTGTTTAAAGATGTGAATTATTTCCTTACAGTTGCTTTTGCTTTCCCATCAAACCAGGAAAGAAGAAATTCCTCCTAAATCACAACCAGTGTCTCTACCTGAAGAACTGAATCGGGTTCGATTATCCCGACACAAACTGGAGCGATGGTGTCACATGCCTTTCTTTGCCAAAACAGTCACTGGTTGCTTTGTGCGCATTGGAATAGGAAACCACAATAGCAAACCAGTTTACAGAGTAAGCATACCCTTGTGTATTTTCCCATGTTGGTAATAAAAAAAGCAAGTTTTGTTCATGGAGCTTTTTCAAAATATGATGAAGTGAAAGCTGGTAATTAATGGTATAGCCCCTCCCCTTGCATAACAGCTACCTCATTTAGTGATAAATATGTTTGCAAATATGGTAATAATATATTTTGTTTAAAAAAATCGTTTTCTAACCAGTGTATGCACCCATGTCCAAACTTCTTTGCCTGACAACAACACATGCCAGAGTGAGAGTAACACTAGCATTACTGCATGAGATAACTTTATCTAAATGGGACAGTATCAACCAATAATCTTTGCAGTATCTGTCAGTTTCTCTCATCGTTTGTTCATTTTGTGACCATTTCATTTCATTAGGGAACAATTTGAGAGGTCTAAACAAGGAGAGGAGTACAAAGAATTGGTTGTGAATCGTCCTTTATTATGTCCTACTAATATATTTGGGAGGGAGGGAAGGATGGACGGACGGACAGACAGACAGACAGACAGATAGATTTTGTTGTTGAATAATTAAAATATTTTTGAGCAGTCAAATTCAGTTAAAAAATTCAGGATAGGTCCAGACAAAATTCTCAAAAATGGAAGGTAAGGAAAGAAACCTTTACGGTTTCTTCCCCTAGAAATAATTTATATCACGGGTGTCAAACTCGCTGCGTCACACAATGTGTCGTGATGTATCACAACTTTCACATTGCCGGAGCTAGGGTGGGCGCGGCCTCCACAGGATGCAATCAACCCGCAGGCCAGTTTGACATCCCTGATTTATATCAGATCTGTTCCAGAGAGAACACAAGTTCTTCAAATTAGCTTTTTAAAAGAAGCAAGGAATTAAAACACGAATGGGAGAATTAACAAAAAAAGACCATCAGCATAGTCATTCTGCCAGATATTGGTCTTCAACTGATGGAAGGAGTCATTCCATTTGCAAACCATCTTTAACTATTTAACATGGAATGTTGTATTGTTTCAAATGAAGAGTATACGCATTTGTTGAGCTTTACTTAACATTTTTTTAATCTTAAAATTCTTTCTGTCCCACTCATGAAGAAATTGTAAGTTCTTGTTAGATAATAAACTAAATGAAGCTCTTATGTAATCCTGTGTCTGATAAATTAAGAGTATAATTGCAAATTAACTAATATGCTTTACATCAGGGGTGTCAAACTGCCGGCCCACGGGCCGGATGCATCATAGCAAAACCGTGCCTACCCCATTGCCGGCAATGGCAAAAAAGTTGTGATACGTCACGTGACGTTGTGAGTTTGACACCCCTGCTTTACATTTTACTTCAGATCCTTCTATTCTCACTTCCCACTAGATTTCCTTTGATTTTTCTACTTTGCTGAGAAAATGTATATATAGTAAAGTCCCATCTTTTTTGTTTTGTTGTCATTTGTTTCAGGTGGCGGAAATAACTGGTGTTGTAGAGACAGCAAAAGTATATCAGCTTGGAGCTACCAGGACAAATAAAGGGTTGCAGTTAAGGTGAGATGTCTGAAAGTCTTATCATCTTGGGGGGGGGGGGTGTAATTATCCTGAATCAAGAGAAAATGAATACATTTCATCTTAGGATACGTTTCTAGGGTAATGTGAATTTCCAGCAAATATTTGAGTGAAGAGTGTCTGTCCTATTGGGACTAATAGTTTACTTTCACTAGTAATAGTCCATTTGGAACATATTTTCTTGTAGAAAAAGTAGAAATAAACTGACTTAATACAGATAAAAGGTAATCAATCTAAGAGTGCTTTCATCACTGTTCCCTCCTCCAAAATTTGGGTGATAAATAAAAGCTACAGTTAATCTTTTTCTTTTCACAGGCATGGTAATGACCAGCGTGTGTTCCGCTTAGAGTTTGTCTCCAATCAGGAATTCACGGAGAGTGAGTTCATGAAGTGGAAGGAAGCCGTAAGTTTCTACTTTTTCGTTTGCTTTATCAAGAACTTAGGGCTGCGTAGTGAATAAAATTTAATATCTTTTTTTTTAACTTTTGTTGCAATTAGATGTTTTCTGCTGGGATGCAGTTACCCACCCTTGATGAAATAAACAAGAAAGAAGTGTCCATCAAAGAAGCCCTCAACTATAAATTCAATGACCAGGACATTGAGGAGGTAAATGAAGAAAATGTACTTTTGAGCTGGAACCATTCATTTGGTCCATAATGGAAAGGTAGGTGAGGTTATAAAAGAAATGTTCTCGGGTGCCATGTTTTGGTTCTATAAAAATAACATGATTTTAAAAGCCATATTTATAACATATACCTATGTCAGTGGTTCTCAACCTGCGGGTCGGGACCCCATTTGGGGTCGATCGACCATTTCATGGGGGTCGCCAAGCAAGGCTGTCCGCCATTTTTTTTGTCCGCCATTTTTTTCCCCTTTTCCGGCGGGTGTCTTACCTCCCTTGGGCTGGGCCAGCTGGTGGTCGGCCTGCTCCGTCTCTGCCGCTTGCCAGCTACGCCTCGGCCGGCGCAGGGGGCGGAACCACGCATGCACGGCGCTCCCGGGCAGGGAAAGTCCTCGACTTACGACCGGTTGGGTAGTCCTCGACTTACGACCGGTTTAGTCCTCGACTTACGACCGGTTTAGTCCTCGACTTACGACCGTTTAGTCCTCGACTTACGACCGGTTGGGGTCGCGGCATTAAAAAGGTTGAGAACCACTGACCTATGTTATAAAAGATATAGTCAGTACTTTTGATTAGACTATACTGCGCTGTTTTTTCCCCGGATATTATTTTTCCTTTCAGATTTGAGCATCACAATAAAAAAAGATTCTGTATTTAGAGAGCCTTTTTGATGTATTGATTAAGACAGCAGCCCCCAGTTCCGTGGACAGAGGTTTTTCCGCGGACCGGAGGGGGTGTGGTTTTGTATGCTGCCTTCATCCTGTGGATGGGGGTTCACTTGTTTGTATAGACTGGTTTCTTGCATGTCACGGACCGGTGCTGGTCCACGGACCAGAGTTTGGGGACCTCTGGATTAAGACATCAGGTTAGAAACTGGGAGATCATGAATTCTATTCCCATCTTAGACACAAAGCCACCAGGATGACCTTGGGCCAGTCACACACACTCAGCCTAACAAAGGAGGCAATAGCAAACCACTTTTGAAAAAAACAAGAAAACTTTGTCCAGGCAGTCACAAGGGTCAAGGCACTCAAAGTCTCTCTCTCTCTCTCTCTCTCTCTCTCTCTCTCTCTCTCTCTCTCTCTCTCTCTCTCTCTCTCTCTCTCTCCCTCTCTCTCCCTCTCTCCCTCCTCCCCCCCCCTCTCTCTCACACACACACACAAAATAGATGAGATTTAAAGTAGTAGGAGATATTTGTGCGATCACTTCTGGAAAAAATTAACTTCTGCATAAGTTAATTTCCAATTTTAATAAAACTTTATTAAGGATGTTCCTCAGTCAGGATTATCAACTCTTGTCAAATCCCAAATTGCTTAAAATGATCTTGTTTGGATATTTAGTTTGTTTCGTCTCATTTATGATTTTTTTTAAAGAAAGATCTGCATGAAAATTTGTAAAATGTTCATGTAGATTTCCCAAAGTATACATTTTTACTTTTTTGTAGCTATGAGATGCTTCACACAAAAGTGTATATGTTAGCATATATATTATGCTAATTGATATAACCAAATTTTTCTATTATTCCTAAGCTGAGTTTAATCTTAATAGTTTTTGTCTATCAGTAGATTTTTAGCTACTATGTAATATAATGGATTATGTTCTAAAATCTTTTTATTATTATTGTACTACATAAATATAAATAAGGTATACAGGATTAAAAAGGCCATGCAATTAGCAATATAATGTGTTTTGTAAAGGGTTTAATAAAATAAAAATTGCCACAAGGATTATCTGCAGAGATTGTTGGCCAACCATCAAGAAATTTGTGTTAAATATAATGAGTTTCTCATTTTCCATTTTTAGATAGTAAAGGAGAAGGAAAGATTCCGAAAAGCACCACCAAACTATGCCATGAAGAAAACTCAGCTACTAAAAGAAAAAGTAAATAGTATTGCTTAAAGTACTAGATTTTCAATAAATTCTTGGGCTTCCTGAAAGAAAATTGCCTTGTACCTAAAACAGTACTGTGCATGGAACAGCTGTTTTCAGCTGGTTCATACATAAACCAAAATGCATGTTTTGGATGTTTTGCTTTGGGTTCAGAATGAAACTGGATTGTTTTGTTCCAGTGTCAGACCAAACAGAATTGTTCCAAGCAGATATACCATGCTGGGAGCTGTTGTCATGATTGCTATAAGAAACAGGTCCATGGTCCATGCAAAAGGGTTAAGTCCTAGAACTCTGGAGAATAAATACCCTCTTCTTTCTGGAAGTCATTGGGGGGGGCATGTTAATTAACTTTTCTCTACATACTCCATGAAATCACTCTTAATATCCTTCCAGGCTTTATTGCAACTGAAACCTTGGGGCAACAGAAAGGGGGTGTGTTTTGTTTCTGCCAAACTATGAGTCATCAGAAACTGTTCAAAACAAAATATTTTTATTATGTGTATACCGCTAGTAACTTCTATGATTTCTCCTTCAAAATCTTGCACATTAACATTTTGCTTAACATTTACTACTTTATGAGGCTCATTTTTGCAGAAAATGAAGAAAGAAAACAGTTCCCTTCATTTTTCTATATAAATAGTCCTCAACTCACGACTGTTCCTTTAACAACGGTTTAAAGATAGAACAGCCTTAGAAAAATGACTTACGACCCATCAACAAAGTTACAATTATCACACCGCCATGTGATCCCAATTCGGGCAACTGGCGTTGTGTTGTGTTGTATATGTTGCTCACATACAGTATATGATAGTTGTGGAACATGGTTGTGACTTCCCGAGCCAGGTTCTGCCAAGCAAAATCAATTGGGAAAGCCAGTTGATTAACAACTGTGTGATTCACTTAACAACCCTCATGATTCACTTAATGACTACAGTAAAAATGATTATGAAATTGGATTCAGTCACACGATGACTTCCTTAACAATCTTATTGCTTAGGGGCCAAAATTCTAGTCCCAATTGTGTCGTAAGTTGAGGACTATGTGTAAATCCTCATATGTTTTCATCACTGCCAATAGGTGGCATGTTACATTGTGAGGGAATAGCTAAAATTATTACCTATAACATGCAAAAATGTTTCGGTTAGATTCCTATGGGTCTGATTTAGGTTGATTCCTAGACATAACATATTCAAAGAATATGTTGATTGAAACATATCTTAAATCAAGATCTACTTGACATAATAAAACATAATTATAACTTTTAATCAATTCTCACCAGTACAGCTGGTAAAATGGAGAGAATGCAATACTAATAAATAATTCTTTGTTAAAGGCCATGGCAGAAGACCTGGGAGATCAGGACAGAGCAAAACAGATTCAAGACCAGCTTAATGAGTTAGAAGAAAGAGCAGAAGCCTTAGATCGCCAGAGAACAAAAAACATTTCAGCCATCAGGTTGGTACCTGGAGAGAAAATTAAATCAATAGGCCATTTCTATGCTCCCCTTCTTAACTTGGGGCAGGGATGATGGTGATATTATTTCAGAGAAGTCATGCCAATGGTTTTTAATAAGGCAGCAACTTTTTACATGTTTAGAAATGATGCTTTCTTTCCATTATTGAAAACAGGAATACATCTTCAGATATGAGTTCTAAAAGAAGATTTCTTTATGACCACAGATTGAGAAAGTTTAATCATTAAAATGCAGGGATAAATATTTATCTTTCTTTTCTCAGTTATATCAACCAGAGAAATAGAGAATGGAATATTGTGGAATCTGAAAAAGCTTTAGTGGTAAGTAATGTTCATGGAGCAAAGGAAAAACAAAGCACATTTTTATTGAAGAAGTGGCTTTCTGAATTTAACAAATATATATGGGGAAACTACTGCTTTTTTCATTTGTATATGATTTTCTGGACAGCCATACCAAAATATTTTTTGAGTTTTAAGCCATAAACTGATTAAAAAGTACTCATGTTTGGTGACAGAAAATGACAACACTATTTGTATTGAAAAAAAATGGCAGTCTGCAAAAGAAAAAAATACCTGGTGCAATTATAAAATTAGGATTAAAAAGCAAAATATGCTTTTGTGGATAATGAACCCAGCATGCTGGTTGGGGAACTTTGGGAGTTGAAATCTATACAATTTAAAGTTGATGAGGTTGAGAAACTGTTTTAGAGGAGAAAATAACCCTGAAATTAGAGGTTGCTAATTCTGAGTGTTATACTTAGTAAACGATGGGGGATTACTTTGAAGTCCCAGTAGGGGTTAGATCTAAAATGATCTTGCACAGAAAGCTGTTTAAATCTCAACTAGGCGATTGAATTAGTAGTGGTAACGCTCTAAATAAATATTGGGATGGGCAAAAAAGTGAGTTTCTACAAAATTTGGGCAAGCATTTGAAAAAGTGCCTTATCTTCAAGTATGCAGGAGGCAAAACTACTTTTTGTGATATATAGGCACAAAAATCTGTTTGCAAACTAGTTGTGTGAAGCGTAAGAAATGTACTCAGTCCCATCTGTTACAGCACTGCATATTCCACAAAATTTACAGAACAAAAGTAGGGCTACTTCTCGGAATTCGTTGAATCTATGTTGGATTCATTTCAACCATTTAAGATATGCTAATTAACATCTAGAATGCCTAGAGCCTATTCTTTGATTTAAGAATCAGAAATGCAAGATATTAGTGTTAACTTTCTAATACAGAGGTCCCCAACCTTTTGGGCACCAGGGACTGGTTACGTGGAGAGAGGTTTTTCCGTGGACTGGACAGGGCGTGGTTTTGTGTGCTGCCTGAATCCTGCAGATGGGGCTTTGCTTGTTTGTGCGGCCCAGTTGCTGGCATGCCGCGGCTCAGTACCGGTCTATGGATTGGGGGTTGGGGACCCCTGTTCTAATACCTTGCAGAGATGATTTTTTTTTGTCACCAAGAACCATAGTTCACCTTTGATAAATGGTCCATATGCTTCTTTAGTGGTTCTTTTCCCTACATTGACTTATCAGAGGCATCTAGGAAGCTAAGAATCCAACATAAGCAAGAACTTAATTGGAATGAAGCAGGCTGCCTGATTCTAATGCTAGTGCTGCTCTCTATATGTTATTGAAGCAATGCTGAGAAAGGGAAGCTTAACATAAACATGTGTCTTTGTACTATGTTTTTGAAGGCTGAAAGCCACAGTATGAAAAACCAGCAAATGGATCCTTTTACAAGACGGCAATGTAAACCTACAATAGTCTCAAATGTAAGTAAAGAGCAAAGTTGAATATAGTGAAGAATATGATTAGGTGTTTATATCTGAGATGCTGGTTATCAGTCGCTATTCAAATATCCCACACATAACACTAAGCATAAGCTAATATGAATTAAGATTAATATAATGTTTTGGTCTATTATCAGATGCAAAAAAAGCGTAGATTTTTCAGCAGAATTAATTTAATTCCATGTAATAGCAATAGCACTTAGACATATATAGGGTATAGGGATTGAACTTCTAGAAGTGGGAATTCAGATTTAGCTTGCAATACTGCATTCTAATGACTGTGCCACTATGGGACAGCATGTAGAATTATTTGTATATTGCTTACCTGTCAGATTCTAGGTGGCTTAAAATGATAAAAGCAGAAAAACACAATATAAATACCAATGTCCTTCAGTCCCATTCACTACTGTCACTGTGTGAGGAAGAGCACCGTTTTTACCACCTTTCTAAGTGACAGTAAAGTGGTAGAGATTATATTAATATGCAAATTCCTGTTTTTAGAGTAGCGACCTACTCTAAAAACAGGAAAATTAATTGTATTTGAAAAGACAGTACATTATGTTTTAATTATACATAGTTATTGAATGCACCAAATGAAGATAACATTTTAAAAGGAAATGGTAATCCAACCAATAATAAATCTTCTTTTCCACAGTCCAGGGATCCTGCTGTACAGGCTGCTATACTTGCTCAGCTAAATGCAAAATATGGATCTGGTGTGTTGCCTGATGCTCCAAAGGACATGACTAAGGCAAGTCCTCCAAGTATTCATTATATCCTGTCCTGTAGTTTTAAAGAAATAATCTTAATTCTGTAGAATTCTAATCATATAAGGCAGAGGTGGTAAACAATGGCCCTTGTATGACTTACGGACTTCAACTCCCAGAATTCCTGAGCCAGCATGGGCCATAGTTCCCCACCCCGGATATAAGGTAATAGCAGTTTCGATCTTAGATCAAGAATGGGCAAATGTGAACTGATGAGCATAAATTTGTCCACCAATACTTTCCCCGGAGACTGCCAGGGTTACTGGCCCATCTGCTTTAATTACTTTTAAATTCTTAAAATACTAAATGAAAAGCTGGCATACTACAAAGTATGCCCAGCCATTAGGACCACATTCATTTGTACACTTATGTTTTCTTAGAACATAACAATCATGAATGAGCCAGTGCTTTGATTGGAAGGTTAAAAGGGACAGCTGGAACAGCTGTTGGTCTTCTGCGTCAGGCATAGCAGCTGTTTTGTGAGAGAATACTGATGTTCTTGCAGCATTCCATATCTGTCTCTGACTTAAAAAGATTCCCCAGCCCTTCAAGAAAATGGCATTTTCTCTGTAAAAATAGAACAAGATTTCTTTGGGAGCACGAGAAGATGATTCCGTTCCAGAAATATTTAGATACATCACCTGTTCTTTATTATAAATTCTACCTGATTTAAGTTCTGTGCCATAATATTAAAAACTTATTTCTCTTTCAGAGCCAGGGAAAAGACAAAGATATGAATTCAAAAACAGCCAGTGATCTCTCAGAGGATCTTTTCAAAGTGCATGATTTTGATGTGAAAATTGACCTTCAGGTTCCTAGCTCAGGTAGGTGCTGCTTCTTCTGAAGGGATGAAAAGTAAACGGGGAGAAAAAGAGGAATTGTTGCTCTCGCAAAATTGCAGTATTTGAGCAAAAACCTAATGCTGTGGGTAAGCAACCACCATCTGCTAATGTGATTAGTAGTTGTTTGTAATTTATTTACTTATCTATCTATCTATCTATCTATCTATCTATCTATCTATCTATCTTACATGCTGCTTATTCCGTACTAATTAATAATTGTAATGAAGAAGGACTGAGGAATGGGAACTCTGGGAATTATACTCCAACATATCTAGGGGCATTATGGTAGGAAAAACTGCTTTCTAAAGCACTTGAAAAGAGAATTACAGCTAATCCTTCAGTTACGACCACAATTAAGCCGAAAATGTATGTTGCTAAGTGAAAGATTTGTTAATTTGCCCCCATTTTACTACCTTTCTTGCCACTGTGTTTAAGTTAGTAACACAGTTGTTAAGTGGATCTGGCTTTCCCATTAACTTTGCTGGTCAGAAGGTCGCAAAAAGGGATGACATGACCTCAGGACACTGCAGCCATCGTAAATATGAGTCGGTTGCCAAGTGTCTGAATTTTGGTCACGTGACCATGGGGTGGCTGCAACGGTTGTAAGTGAAAAATGGTCATAACTCACTTTTTTTCAATGTCATGGTAACTTTGGTCACTATAGAACTGTTATAGTCGAGGACTACTTGTATGTTGGCTTGGCTGCCTGTAACTCAACAGCTTTCTGCTTTCTTCAGTCAGCTGAGTTATTTGTCTGTGTGCACCTTGTCTTCCCACAGAGTCCAAAACACTGGCCATCACCTCCAAGGCTCCCCCAGCAAAAGATGGTGCCCCTCGGCGATCACTGAACCTAGAGGACTACAAGAAAAGGCGGGGGCTGATTTGAGCATTCCCTCTCTCTGCTGCTTCTGATCCTGCATGCTACAAGGTCTCCTCTCGCCCTTTATTTTCTTCCCTTCTACTTCAGTTGACCCTTTTGGGTTGGAGCAGCAGCTACAGAGCTAGGAAGAGACTCTTTACAATTGCCAGCCATCTGTAATATAAATCATTGACTTTTTGCTGTATAGACTTCCCTTATTGCTCTTTCCTCCTGCGATACACAAATATGGATCCATGCTATTTTTAGGGAGAGGAAGGATTATTTTTTTTTCGTTTTGGAAGTACAGCTGTTTGAAATTGGCTGTATGTATTCAGTGTTAACTTGGAATCTGGATTTCTGCAGGAATCTATTGGTGGCCGAGCAGTGTTAGCACTCTGCTTTTCCACCATCCCAGGCAAGGAGAATTTACCCGCGAATGGCACAAGACCTCTTGTGAAGGTCGCCTGCACCTTTCCCTCTTCTTCTTTCCCCTTGCTCCTAGCTTTGGAGAGGGGCATATTTACAAACAGATTTCGGGTGAAAGTGTACATTTTTGTGGGGGTGGGCTGGGCTGTGTGAACTTTTTTCCAGATGTTTTTTTTATCATTTTTAACCTGCAGTAAATTTGTATTTGTCACAGTTCTTTAAAGATGTCTGGAATTTCTACCAGCTACATTTGAGCATCTGACACAGCAGGGGCAATTTAGTGAATGTGATTTTTTTTTTAAAAAAAAACAAACAAAAAAGGCCTGGCTAACAATAACTGTGCAAGTTCACACTTTTCTGTTTCTTTTTGTAAAAAATCCCTCTCATCTCTCCCTCCCATATCAGGTTTTATAATACAGTAATATATGTGCTCTTGAATGACCTGTTATAGGAAGGTAGAGCACTATGTCTTCTCTGGCTGCTACTTGGATCTTCTCTTCATTTCCCACCCCCCCTTCAACAGAAATATGTGTGGTCATCCCCTTTGCTGCTCAGCCTCATCTTTTCTAGGCTAGGCTGGATATCTTTTCATTTGCATATTTTTTTGGGAAAAATGCTGAATGGGAAGGGTATGGTAGAAATGGGAGATTATTTTAAACTGCAGTTATTTGACCTATATAACATTGGTAGGTACAACTTGTGAGGTTGAGAACCTTAACAAAGGTTTGTTCATGCAAAGTGCTTGAATAAGAAACACGACTGCTTGATAATCACTCAGGGGTAAAGATCAACGTGTAAATAAAAGACATTTTATCAAAAAAATTCAGAACTGCCGTGGGTTATACTGAATTTAGTACATGAATAATGAGAGGTTTCACTAGTGGATACTTTCCTGGCTCAAGAATCAGAAGGAGACCTTACATGAAGCATTTTTAAGCCCAGAATATCTATGGTTACATCTAAGTGGAGATTTGAATCTCGTGGCCATGATCTGTGAGTATCCTTCTTGATGCTTTAATTTGATTTTTCTTTAATTGCTTATTTAATGCAAGGGGCACACATATCTGTGTAAAACCTATGAAATGAAAGGGGAGGGGAAACTCCTCCGTAGATTGTTTTGTCACATTGTGTGAAGTGTGTGGCTTTATTTACTAGATTGTCCACAGCTTTACAGACTGTTGTGTAAATATGTAATCATTCTGATTTGCTTTGTTTTTCTTTTTTTCAAGCTACGTTTCTCAAGCTTTTGTGGGCTGTTATTTTTTTAAATGGATTTTTGGAATATGCCAGTGTATAACTGGGAGTCATCATGATATACTGTGTAAATAAACAATATTATCACTTGATTATTTTTCCCCCTGCCAATATCATCTGTAGTAGCCAATCCCCAGTACTAATATTTCTGATGTAGAAAAATAGATTTGCAATACTTTTACAGGTTTTTTGATTGCCCACCAATTTCTATAAAGCTGTGACACGAGAGAAAGAAAAAAGCAAGCAAAGATTTAGCTTCTTATGTTTCTACCTAATTATATCATGGCAGTCCATGACAGACTTTTGCAGCCAGAGGTAGACTTTGTGACATTGGCCTTATAATCAAAGTGCAGAAGATTTTTTCTCTTTAAGTTGTAAATAAAGCATTGGTTTCATCCCCTCCAATTGGGTTAGAGCAATATTTCTCAACCTCAGCAATGATAAGATGTATGGACCAAATTCCAGAATTGAATGCTGGCTGAGGAATTCTAGGAATTGAAATCCAAACATCTTAATGTTACTGAGGTTGTAAAATACTGAATTAGATGAACTACTCAAATAAGTGGGGAATTTAAAGACACAAATGAGGTAGCTGTCCCAGTGTATCCCCTATGTACTAAACTCAGAAATGAGTTTCTGTTTTTCACAGAGGTAATAGTTGAGTCCTTGTACACTATCTTTTTCAGTGAGAATAATACATCGAGGGAGTATTTTTTCTCAGATAGCTATGAAACTGTGTATGAAGGTGTAATGTTTTCTCCTCTTAAGTGCATGTGACAGTGAGTGATGACACCACAGTCTCATTTGGAGGGATGGGTTTATTTGCTTTAATTCATTGATGTCTCGGCAGCATTCGTTACAATGTATAGACTTCTATAAATAAACTGGTTGGTTTAATAAAGATGCTCATGTTCAATCCTTTGAATACACAAAAACACAATTCATATGTTTGTACAACAACACTCAAAGGTTAAATCTAATTGTGCCCAGTGTTTCAAAGTTATTCTTCAGTTAACTTATCAGACATTATTGTTTCTAATGCTTTATGACTGTAGCAATTCTGGGTAGATCAAAATTAGCTGGAAGATATCTTAGGAACTTCTTTACATTTTGAAATACAGCAGTCACTTAAAATCAGGAGAACAAACATGTAATTTTTCTGAGTTTGAAAGATGTTCTTCAGCTTTGAGGACATATTAGGTGGTAGTCCTCTAAAATGGGTCCCCAACCTCCAGTCCGTGGCCAGTACCAGGCCGCACAAACAAGCAAAGCGCCATCTGCGGGATGCAGGCAGCACACAAAACCACATGCCCTCCGGTCCGCGGAAAACCCTCTCCACGGAACCGGTCCCTGTGGCCCAAAATGTTGGGTACCTCTGCTCTAAAAAATAGGCAGAAGTGGGTAGATAAAAATAAAGTTAACTTAATTGAAATACATTAATTATATATGTTTAATATGATTATTCTCCATGTAATTAACAGTGTTTTGCTTCTATCATATTAAAAAAAAACCTTAATTTCATTCCATTTTTAGATAGATTCTTCAAGTCACATATACCACTAGTTACACATCTCTGCAGCAGAATATAAAATCAGGTGCAAGGAAAAATGTTAAACAATTTCAGCAATAAAGAATAATTACTTTTGAAGTGGGAAATAGCAGAGAAAAAAGAAAAGCTCCTTGGTTAACATGTTATGTTTAGCCATGAACTGCTGCTATTTTTAAAACTCCAAAATAAAGATAGAAATATATAATTAAAGAATAACAAGCAACACTGGCTGCTTTATGCTATGAGAATTATAATACTAGTGAAAATAATGTATTATACGGAATAAAGTTTGAGGGGAGGAATAAGTACCACAGGAATAATTCCTTGAATGTTATATCACAATAGGTTTGGATATCATAAATACACATATTAATGGCCAATGCTGAATGGTATTTAGCCATTACTTAAGGATCCTAAACTACAACAATTTATTATAAAAATAGAATAAGGAATTGAACTATAACAGCTTCCTCCAAATAATTCCAATTCTTGGTTTGACTGTAATAATCATGGTCCTCAAAACCAAAAACTAATATTTAGGCTATGGTAGTGAAAATAATTGGGTATCTGATTATGCCACGCAATACTGAAATTATGTTCCTAAGTTTATTCTCAAAATGTAGTAAGCCAAATGAGACAATAGCGTGATTCAGTAAATCTGGGACATCAGAGAAGAACAAATAGTGGTAAAAATTTAGCAAACTGCAGATCAGATTTTGATATAAAAAAAAAACCATAAGTATATAGAATATAAAGAAGCAAATCAAGGAATGCTTGAATTCAAAGATAACTGCAAAATTAAAGGTAGAAAATTAATTCCAACATGTTTATCAAGAGTACCATATATATGTGGTATATTTTCTTTTAGAAATGGCACATCATCTGAGATAGACTGTCATGTGAAAAAGAAAGTACACCCTCTTTGAGTTCTATGGTTTTACATATTAGGACATAGTAAAAATCAGCTGGTCCTCAACAGTTCTTAAAAGTAGGCAAATACAACCTCGGATGAACAACAACATAGGACAGTGATGGCGAACCTTTTAGAGACTGAGTGCCCAAACTGCAACCCAAAACCCACTTATGCATCGTCGAGTGCCAGGTGGGTGTGGCCCATTGGGTGGGCGTGGCTGCGGTGGTAACAGCAGACTGGGTGGGACTAAAAAGTTCAATCAATCAATTCCAACTTTGCAAGATCTTTTTTTTCCCCACGAGAAGTTGAAATTGACTGATTGATTGAACTTTTTTTTTTTTTGCACACGGCGGCAGAGGCCTAAAGCAAAAAGGTTTTATAAAACCCAGCTGAAGGCCTAGGACTGGGGCGATGGCACGCGTGCCCACAAAGAGGGCTCTGAGTGCCGCCTCTGGCACCTGTGCCATAGGTTCGCCACCACTAACATAGGACATATTACACCATGTCATCATTTATTTTTTTTTACAAAAAGCACCAAAATGGAGCCATGTGTGAAAAACTAAGTACACCTTATGATTCAACAGCTTGTAGAACCACATTTAGCAGCATAAACTGAAGTAATCGTTTCCTGTATGAGTTTATCAGTCTCTCACGTCATTGTGGGGAAATTTTGGTGCACTGTTCTGTACAATATTGCTTCACTTCATTGTGGGGCATTTGTTTGTGCACATGTCTCTTGAAGTCCTGCCAGAGCATTTCAATCAGGTTGAGGTCTGGACTTTGGACCGTTGCAACACCTTGATACTTTTCTGTTTCAGCTGTTCTGTTGTAGATTTGCTGGTGCGCTTGGGATCACTGTTCTGTTGCATGACCCATTGTCAGCCATTTGACTCTAGAATACTTTGGTATACAGAGGAATTCAGGGTTGACTCAATGACTGCAAGTTGCCCAGGACCTATGGCTTCAAAACAAGCCCAAATCATCATTTCTCCACCACTGTGCTTGACGGTTGGTATGAGATGTTTGTGCTGTGTTTGGTTTTCACCAAATGTGGCACTGTGCATGATGGCCAAACATCTCCACTTTGGCCACCAGCCACGAGGTGCAGGTTTTGTTGTCTTTTATTGAAGCGCTCCAAGAAAAG